ATGGATGAGCAAAATGTATACCTGACAAAGCACTTGTATCCAGCATATATAAAGAACTCTTTGAAATCAATAGTATGACAACCAAAATTTTTTAAATTAGCAAATTATTTGAAAAGATAATTCACAAGTAAAGACATATGAAGAGCAAACAACCACAGGAAAGATGCTGAGCATCAAAGAAATTGAAATGAAAATGTCAATGAAATTAAAGCACTGGTGGTATTTTACCATAAAAATGACCTAGAAATTGTAATATTCTATTGTGAACTGAAAGACAAATATCAAAAAATAGTTGAGTTAAAAGACAGAGAGAAAGATACAGTAACATCATTCCACCTTTAATAATGCACAAGAATTTCCTGCTCTGGTGAGAAAGGAATGGGTCACTTGTGTCCCAGCTGTTCAAATGACAATGTCAATGGGCTTGGATGAATCTTTGGCTTCCCTGTTGAAGTACAGTAACCTCATGTCCAGTCTATGGTTTCAGGTAAAAAATAAAGCAGGTCCTGGAGAATTAATGTTGCATCAGGGGATCTTTCCTTCCATCCACTGGTCCTCAGCCAGATAATTCTAAGGGGGCAGAATTGCAAAGCTTCAGAGACAAGAGTGGTCCCAAAGGAAGACAGTAACTGAAGGGTGGACAGGACCTAGGCCAGGACAGTGAGCCTTATGGAGAGAGCTGTGTAGAAGGAATGAAATGCTTGAAGAGCAGGGAGGCTCTCTGTTCAGATGACTGGAGGAAGCGTATTTTCAACCAGAAGCCTAAATTCAGCAAGAGAGGACAGAGTCCCCCACATACCACACCCTAGACTTCATCTGATGGCCTAAGAAAGCCAGTTTAATATGGTAAATATGACATTGGACTATCTAATTATATAGCAATGATTTGCCCGATTCACTCCACTCAGTCAGGCAGAGAGTTTTTGAACACTCAGTAGCTGGCCAAGTGTAACTTCTGCTAAACCTCAGATACTATGAAAGAGTATTTGATTCTAAGGTAGCTCAACCTCAAGAGCAGACGCACCATACTCCTTGTATGGAAGCAGTTAATGTTTTATCAGCCTCTCCTGGAACCTAGTTCTCAGGATACAATAGGTTCTCTTTAAGGAAAAAAGTGGTTTTATGATCAAATAGATTCGAAAGATAAAAGCAAATGTGATTCTTTACTGTAAGACCTCTGAGAACCTTGAGCACACAGACATCCTTTATGAATCTGCATGTGGGATGTATCATGTCCCACATTTACTTGGCCACAGAACACTTTTTTCCATGAAGCATCTCTTGGGACCAGTTTTCTGTTAAATACATTAACAGCACAACCCCTGAATGACTTTAGGAACTATTCTATGGTCCTCTGTAGGCTGAAAAACTACCAGGACTGAATAGAATAGACCACTTGTTTTCAAAAAACAGTTAGAGTGATGTTTAAACCTACTTCAGTGAGACCCACTGCGCCCTGAGATCAGGGTGGGTCTCATGAAAAAATGCCTAGGGGTAGGATTGCTGGTGGGGTATATATGGGTATGGTGGGGTTAGGGTAAAGAGATAAGCAGAGGGGGGCTGAGAGGCAAGAGATGGAGGAAAGGGACCTTACTGAGAAGAGCCTGACATGGTATGTTCAGGTATGCAGCAGGCAGAGGGGCCCAGGACAAGGCTGGAAAGGGTGGATGGGGCCAGACCCCTCAGGTCTTAAAGATTATGTTAAGGACTTTGATCTTTTTCTTAAGGACAATAGAATGCCAATAGGTGATTTTAGGTAAAGAGTGATAAGATTAGATGATCATGCATAAGGTCTCTACAGTATGAAAAATGGACTAGGAGTCAGGGGGAATAGGTGTGAAGAGACCAGATAGAAGGGCTTGAACTGGCCCAGGTTGGAGGTGAAGGCAGCATGGTGCTGACTCTGCAAAGAAGTGAAAAGATCTAAGAAGTTTTTAGGAGTCCTTGGTAGTTGGATGGAGGTAAGAGGGAAAAGGAGGAAGGTATATTAGTCTGTCCTTACACTGCTATAAGGATACTACCCAAGACTGGGTAATTTAGAAAGGAAAGAGATTTAATTGACTCACAGTTCTGCGTGGCTGGGGAGGCCTCAGAAAACTTACAATCATGGCAGAAGGTACCTCTTCACATGGCGGCATGAGAGAGAATGTGAGCCAGCAGGGGAAATGTCAGCTACTTATAAAACCATCAGATCTCGTGAGAACTCACTCACTATCATGAGAACAGCATGAAGGAAACTGTCCCCACGATCTAATTACCTCCACCTGGTCTCTCCCTTGACATGTGGGGATTATGGGGATTATAATTCAAGATGAGATTTGGGTGGGAACGCAAAGGTTAACCATATCAGAAGGTATCAAAATGGTTACCCAGTTTCTGGCCAGAATGAGTGGGAGTGATGGTAATGCCATTTGATGAGCTACAGATATTTAAAGATGGAAAGGAGAAGAAGATCTGAGTTTGGGGTGTCTTTGAGATATTCAAGAGTATATGTGGAGTAGATAGTTGGAGTTTTGCTAAATATTCTGGAGAAAACATGACATTTTCTCATAAAATACTGAAGTAAATTTCAAAAACATTAGAGACTTAAATGCATAAAATTAATTCATACATGATTAGCATAATGGAGGAGAATATTTCTAAAATCTTGATATATAGAATCTTTCTAGCACAAAACAAGAAAAGAAACCAAGACGTCAATATGTAATTAAGTAAAACTAAAATATAACATGTGGAAAACAAAATGCTTTGTCCACATTTAAAAGGCAAATGACAGGGGAAAAGTATGTGTAACCTATGGCAGATAAAATGTTATATACTTAAAATAAAGGGCTATTTCAAATCAAGAAGAGTAAAGATTAGCAGGAATGGTCTTGTAAAAAATTAGACAAAGGATATGAATAGAGAGTTCATAAAGGAAGAAACACAACCAGAAACATAGTGTTCAACCTTACTATAAGTCTAAGATCTACAAATTTAAGCAACACTAAAATGGTGTTCTTGACCATTAGAATGACAATTTTCATATTTGTGTCAAGACAAGGAAATAAATGCCCCTGTGCACTTTTGAAGTAAATATCAGTTCAATGTTTGTTTTTTGTCTCCTCTTAGCAAGTAATATCGAAATATGTGTGTATTCTCCTGGACTCTGGGGTTCTATTTCTGCAAAATTATACTAAAAATAATAAGATAAATACACAAAGTTGTACATACAAGAAGATCCCTTGTAATATTGTTTATAATGGGGAAAAGTTCTCAACTGCCCAAAAGTTGAATTGTGGATGGAACTTTTAAAATATCATAATATCATATAATGGACTACAGGGCAGCCAGTAAAAATAAAACAGAAGCTATTCCTTGATGTAAAAACACATTTATGATATACATATATTTTTAAGTGAAAAGTAAATTATAAAATAGTGTGAACAGTATGACTCCTTTTATATTCAAATATATATTCATATACACTATATGCTATATACTACACACACGTAGACCTTCAGGAAAGTCTCTGGATATCAGAATGTATCAAAATCTTAATAACAGTGATCTCTTAGCAGAGCAGTTTTTAGTGGTGGGATTTTTTTTCCATAGTCGTGTATTTTCTCATTTTTCTTCTATGCTTTTTATTACTCATGGGATAAGAATATCTGGGGAAAAAACCCAGGATGGTTCCCTAATATTATTTTTGCCTCCACTGGTGAGTATAAATGTCTGCGTGTGTTTATAAGCACAACAAAGCCATCTGTGAATCATTTTTGGAGCGAGCCCACTTCTCAGTCCCAAGAAAAGCCAAAAGGAAAACACAGGCTGTGACACTGATAAATAGAAGGAAAATCAGAAGTTGCTTTTGCTACACTTTGGCTTTTGTCACCTTCGCCAGGAGCACAAATTAGGCTCCCCTGGGATGGCTTAGGGACCCAGGCTCTGTGAAATTCTCCAGGGCTTGGGAGGTGGCCACAGTGGCTTAGCACGGGAGAGGTGAACACAGCAAGATGCTCTCCAGCCAGTGATAACATATGTTTTTCTTTGGCTTCAGAGCCCACCTTCTTCTGTGGGCACTTGATATGTCATCCTCTTCCAATTTGCAATCCAGAGTGACCCTTACGCTTTTGTTGGTTGAGCAAAACTCTAAAAACATAGACTTTGTCTTACTCTCTACATTTCAAGATCCCTGGGTTCTGTTAGAAAAGCAGGAGATGGAACATTTTCTCTCCAGTGGTTTAGTTTCTTTTATCTGTACTTTCTCTGCCTACGTGTCCCAAAGCCTGGGGAATAGAAAGTTAAAAGCCTGAAAGATAAATTAATCAATAACAAATCTTTTCTAAGTCTCCAAAAGAATCTGATGAACATTTAAGAGACTACCCTCAGCACATACACGTACAAACCACATTTCACATCTGTTTTTGGAGATTCACAAAGTCCTTAAAGCTCATGAGGGGGTGACTTTGAAGAAGGACCCCAAGTTAGGCTGGAACCCCCAATCTAGAAGTAGCTCCTCCTGCTCGGTGTTCAGTGGCCACCAATGTTTCTGGAGAAGCCAGTCCTGCCCCCGCCAATCTCACCTCCCATCCCACTTTCCCCTGACACTTTCATATCTTGCAATGAAAATAAATATGGCAGCTGAAAGTAGCATCTACTGAAGACACACCCCTTCCTTCTTTCCATCTTCTGATTTTCATTAACCCATCACCTTTTTCAAGTGTTCATGTAATGGCTCATTTCTCATGTTTCATAGTCCTAGCCTGGGAAATGCACAGTAATGACAGTCTTTGTAAGTCTAGATGCCAAACGACCATCTCAGAAAAGCCACATTTAACGAGGCTCACACAATGGGTTGTTTTAAAATAGATCTTCATCCAGGCCATGCCTCCTTAGATTTTGTAATGGTGTTTATATTTTGCAATATTTTATTCATGATGGGATTTGGGTTTTTTTAACATCTGCAATCTCGGGCACTATGTGGTAAATTTGAAAACTCAGTCCATGGAATCACTTGCCTGTAAACCCGGGTGCACAGATGCACGTGCCATTCAGGCCATCACTGTCACAGGTGGCTCCGTTCAGACAGCTGACGTTAGCGCAGGGATCCTTGTACAATTCACAGTGTGTTCCTGCAGAGAAACAAGCAAAACAGGATGACTCATCTAGGACTCTCTAGCTCCCATGGTCTCTGAAAGCAAAGTCGGAACACTCTGGAACAATGCAAGGGAGATTCCCAGCGTGGGTGTGGTGGGTGAGTGTATACACATGTGCCCACTCCTGACTTTAGATTGTTGTAAAAACATGCCTTATGAGAAAGTAACACATTCGATCACTGTCCATAAGTCCCACCATAGTCTTTTAGCTGTACTTTCTCTGCCTACGTGTCCCAAAGCCTGGGGAACAGAAAGTTAAAAGGCTGAAAGATAAATTAATCAATAGCAAATGGTTTACAAGTCTCCAAAAGAAACAGAAAATATCTAGATGACCTTGATAAAATATAATATCAGCAACCTGAAAGTGAAGATTTGGAATCAGATATTAAAGTGAGTCCCAGTTCTACTTTGAAGAACTGCAGAGGAGAGGGGAAGCTGCGTGATACTTAGACTTCATTCTCAAAGACATCACTGTATGCTTTATGTCTAATTTATTCCTCACAACAACACTATGAGACAATTATCCCTATTCCCCCATTTTACAGATGAGGAAACTGAGGAAAGAGTGCAAGATCACAAGCCTGGTAGGAAAGGAGCTGAGATTTGAACCTGCCCGTAGTCCCATCCCGGAGTCTATGTTTGCTAAGTAGGCTGTTGAGAGTGACCCTGAATTGACTGTGGAAATAAATCTCCATGGAGCTCAGTGCTCCTTTAACAAAGAAGAGACATTTAAAAAATATCTGTAAAGTAAAACAGAAAGTTTCTCATTTAAGTTTTTGTTTTTTTTAAAAAAAAGACTGTGTGTGCATGTATGTATGCAAATACCTTAAGTGGGACTGGATTACTTCTAGGAGACTGGATTACTTTGATTTTCACATCTGTGTATTTCTACATTATTGGCACCTTTTTAACAAATATCTATTCTTTTATAATTTTATTAAAAACTTTAAAAATCTAATCCTATTTGAAAGGTGGGATATCTGCTGGTGTTACACTGGATGCCAAGATGGATGAATAGATTAGTGTGTGTCTCTCTCTCTCTCCTCCTCCCTCTCTCCCTTCCCCTATCCCCCACCCCTTGGAGAGAGAGATAAATTACATTCTGTCTTGCCTAAGAATGTACATAATGATATGCTCACACTTCCCAACAGCCTCAAGAAAAATATGCATAAAGCAAATAGTAACTGAATGGTATTTACTTAATTTTCTCTGCACTTCATTACTTAGCTCATGTTGTGCAAGGGACTGCCACACCCAGTGACTCATCCTTCAGGCACTGAAATCATCCTTGCTGGGCTTTTCCCTTATTTCTTTCTCAATGCCTTAAGAAGTAGGGCTCAGGAAGGAGGAAAGGAAGTAAGAGAAAATAGAAATGGAACTTCCTGTCTGTATTCACACTAATGACTTATGTGACTTACTTGAGCCAGGTAAAGCTCAAATTTTAGAATAAATGACCTGTAATTCTTTTTCATCCTTTGCTCCTTCTAGCCAAGCCATCAACAGTGTTCTGCCTGGTATTTTTCTGAAGCATCTTTCAGATCTTTGCCTTTCTTTCCTTTCTGAGACCACCCCTGTGATCCCACTGCCTCATGACTCATGCCTGCTGCCTCCTGCAGCCATGTCTTAGTTTCCTCTGTCTCCAGGGACTTGAACGAGCCTCCTCAACTTTCTTTATCCCTAACCCAGGTTGCATGGTAACATAAAATATCAAAATAGTGTTGAGATTAGCATAAATCTAGTCATTCTTCTTCATTTGGGTGTGTATGGCCTCTTCTCCCAGGAGTCTCTATTTTTACTTTCCTACTGATTCACAAGTAGACTGGGCTCAACTGAAAGAATAAAAAGCAGAAGAGCCTTTTCTGCTTCAAAATGTTTATTGCAACACAAAGACTCACCTATTTACAAGTTCCCATTGGGCTGATCAATGGGAGCCAAGTGTCAAAATAGTCTTTTGGTTGTAGTGGGACATACACCCACCACCAACGTTCAGAGGTGCCTGAAGCCTAGAAAACATTTCCATTAGACCTGAAGTCAAAGAAATCAAATGATTGTCACTGGGTTTCTAGTAATACATTAACATCACTAACATGTTAGCACACAAACTACCACATTTTTAAAAACAAGACTGAAAAGCAAATTCTAGGCCAAATATTTAAGCATCTTACCTTTTATTTAAAGTCTTCAACAAAATAGACTTGATAACAAGCAATTTCAATCTTCTGGGTGTTTGGGGTTTTTGTTTGGATGGATGGCTCTTTTGTGGAGGGTGGGGAGGCAATACTTTTTTCCCTTGTTAATTTTATTTTTCAAGTGGTAAGACATTTGGTCCCTTAAGTGTCTATTGAGAGTTTCCTGGCAGCAAGACTGGACAAAAGCTAATCTTCACAGAAATCTGATTATGGAGGAGCAAGATGGTGTTAAAAGTCCCTGGAGAGCACTTTGGTGACTCACATTTCTCTATCGTAAACCTTGTTAATCCCTATATAAAATATATTTGTCATATTGCTCAGCTTGTCATTCGAGCTGAACAACTCTGAGCTAAAAACTTTAAACACAGAGAACTGACAATCATGGACACTACTGATGTGCCAAGGTGTCTCCACTCAAACCCTTCTCCTCTGGAGGTTCCTAGGCCCCCTCTTCCTGCCCTCCTCACCACTCCCACTCCCAGAAAACATCCAGTCTTGGGCATCCTGATTCCTCTGAGGAGTCACCCTCTTTCACACCCTTCCCCCAACCTGATCTCCGCATATTTAATCTCTCAATTCCCAATCCAAATGCCCTCTCTCTGCAAAGCTGAACCTTGATTTTCTCAACACAGACCACATTCTTCCACCATTGTGCCTTGAGAGCATGCCAGGACTGTCACGATCACGGAGGTCACTGTGCCAGATCATAACTTATCTGCTCTCCTGACTGATTCTCCCACAAATCTCTCAAGTCCTGTAGAGCAGAGGCCGTATCATAATGCGTGGAAGAAATTATGGACCTAGCACCGTTATCCTATCCTTTCAAGAGGGGCAACGGCCAGTGTACTTTGGCTGACACACAGGTGAGGCTGCCAGAGGAGGGATTCCAAACTCCAAATCTGCCTCAAAAACACCCTATTTTGTCAGAGAAAACCAGGTCCACACTTCAAACTAAGTCTGTGGAATGACACATGCATCACCCATTGGCAGAGGACACAGCACGCACTATTACAAAACTGATGTTTAGTCTCAAGCAAAAATAAACTGTAATTCAGTCAAAACTAATAAAAATTCATACTTTTCATATTAAGGGATGGAGAAGAAATGTTTCTAAAAAGACTTTGATTCCAACAGGGTTCTTTACAGAAGTTAATTTTAGAATTGAAATAAGCTAGAATTCAAAAAGCACTACACCAATTATGTCTTTGTTATCGTAGCAAATTTAGTTATAATTAATATTTGAAAAATGAAAATCACTATTTTATCTCCAGGAAACTAAGCCAGTAAAGAAGTGTTATTACACTTAATATTTACTTTAAGACATCGTCTCATTTCATCCAAACTTAGTTCCTCTATGAAAACTTTTTCCAGTATTTCAATCTTTACAGATCTCAACATTTTCTAAACCATCTCAGAAATTATAATTGACATCTCGACCTTAGCCTTATTATTCCTGTGTGTCACTTAGTCTGCTCATCTGGTAGAATAATAGCCCAACGAAGGAAGAAACTGTGACTTATCCTTTTTATATTTATCACAGTACTTGAAAGGGCTAGGTGCACAAAACAACCAGAAATTCTTGTTCCCTGGCTAAATAGAATCTAGCAAAGGAAATAACTTTATCCGACAAAGAAAGAGTTCTTGTCCTTTCCATTAAAATTTCTGTAGCCTTTAAAAATAAATAAGTAGGTACAGGCCGGGCACAGTAGCTCACGCCAGTAATCCCAGCACTTTGGGAGGCCAACGCGGGCAGATCACTTGAGGTCAGGAGTTCAAGACCAGCCTGACCAACATGGTGAAACCCCGTCTCTACTAAAAATGCAAAAAATAGCCAGGCATGGTGGCACACACCTGTAATCCCAGCTACTCAGGAGGCTGAGACAGGAGAGTTGCTTGAACCCAGGAGACAGAGGTTGCAGTGAGCCATGACAGTGCCACTGCACTGCAGCCTAGGTGACAGAGCAAGACACCATTGCCAGAAAAAAAAAAAAAGTAGGTACAATGTACAATGTAATTGAATCTATAATCCAGTGATCTCATTTCTGAGACTCTACCCCTGGAAAGAAATCCAGAAAGTATGAAAATATAAAGATGTTAATTCCAGAAATATTTGTAATAGCCCCACATCAGATGTTGAAGGCAATGGATAAGTATTCCCTCATGGGAACATTACAAAGCCACTTAAAATAAAACTAGTAAGACTTCCTAGCACTATATAAATCAAGCATAATACCCTATTATGAGTGAGCAGAACAATATAAAATTGTAGGTATACTCGATTATTTAACAGTAAAAACATGGATACTAAAAACAGAATGGAAGCAACACAGATTATTATGGCTCATGTTATGTTGTAAAAACATGAGTAATTATGAATTTTCTCTTTTCTTCTAAATATTTGTTATTGTTACGTTATTTTCATAATGAAATATCAAAGTTTTTTTCTAAACGTTATCGCCAAAAATTTCAAATACATATATTGTTGGTCATTTCATTGGATCTTCTAGAAGTAGAAATCAATCACTATGGGGCTGTTCCTTGACCTTTTGACAATATGAGGTATGAACACTAAACAAAGTCTTGGAGTTCCATCATAAACCAGCCTTGAACTACTTTGGAAGGACGCAGCAGTGTTTTGGATTGTCTGAAGATGGGTTACCCAGAAGCCCTCCATGAATTTTGCTTTCTAACAATTTCGTGATCTACAGTGGAGACTTACATTCCATGAAAATGTTTAAGTTGGTTTCCTTTACTTAATTCATGGGTTAAACAGTAGTTCTAACTCAA